ACTCGCTTTAAATATTAGCTCATCGTGTAACGTTTTGAGCTATAAATTCTGCAGCGTATGCAGCTTTCACAAGCTGCTTTGTACTTGTTAGCAGTACCTCCGCTTGTTTTGATCGGAGAACGCCATTTCAATTTGATCGATATCAAACCAATGATTTCAATAAAATACGTCTCCTATTTATTGCAATAACATTCCAAAAGGTAATCTAATCTATGTGGAGATAAATAATGCTGTACACGTGGTTCATCAATGCAGATTTGTTTAAACTCTGGTAGGCTTTAGGCTTAACAACACTTGCTTACAGAATCTTGTAAAAACTTTCAACATTTCGAATACTTAGTTCCGTAATAAGTTGCCATCTTTTATTCAAACAAATTTCGTTAACTGTTACACATTGATCTTTTTAAGCAAATCACTGTGAATAACGCCGCGTCTTCGACTGAGACTTAGCCTAGTTTTCCTTTGCGTTTCTTACTGCAACAACATACATTCGCAGTAGTACTGCTAAAAATAGAAAACGTTTTATTAGTCAACATTGTGAAGCTTCAGCAACTAGTTCAACTGTCTGCTTACTTTCACTTGGCGAACTGCAGTACGTGTTTTATACGCTTCTGGTAATTTCCCTCCGTCTACGCATTTTCCAATCAATGATAAGTACTGCGGGCTTGTACTGCATAGTTGGATGGACTTTACTCTGATTTTGTCAGCAGTACCTACTCAGACAATCGCCGGGTGCAAGCGGTCCGCAAACTCGCGCTTTCTTGCAGGCGGTCTGCAGAATTTTGGGGAGTGGCCAAACCTTCAGCGAGCGGTACTTCCTTTACTGTCGCTTGTTTTGCAAGCGGGCAGCACCAAAAGAGATTTTCTGCAGGCGCTCAGCAAATAATTTTTTCAGTGAGCGCTGGCCAAATTTTTATTGAGCGCTCTGCCTCTTGTTAAGCAGTTTGGGGCGTACGCCAACCAATGGTAACACTCTATATGGCAGACAGCGGAAGATACTTATGGGCTGTGCGTTCCACAAAGGACCGTGCGGCCCTCGTAATTTTAATTCAATACACCGTAACTAATCTATAGAAAACCGCGATTGTTCTCCGAGCATCCGTCTAAAATCCAGCCAACATTTTTCCAAATATCTGCAAAGGAACCGCAAGAAATCAGTATTTTTACGGTGCCCGCTTGCTTATAAATCGCATGGCCGCCTTTCCCTCGTGATTATCCGAGAAGGAAGAGTTCCCAAGTCAGCCGGTCAACCCGGATGAGTCATATGTCCTCCACAAAGTCATATGTCTTCCATAACCGGCTCGAAACGCGTATTCCGAATGTGCTTTTGCTTTCTGCGGAACATCTCCACAAAAGAAGTTATTAGCGTTTGAAAGTCTAAATTTGTTAAGTCTTAAGTGGCGTAAAATTGGCGAAGCTGTACAATAACACGTAAAATTGAGTTTTCAGTTCTATCAAGCATACTGAGTACAAGGACGGAAAACAGCCAGTGGAAGTCCGCTTAGTGTTGTTTTAGAGCTTTTCGCTAATTTTACAAGCCACTTCAGACATGACAAATTCAAACTTTCGAACCCTCATAACTTCTTTCATAAAGTCGTTCCGCAGAAAAGGAAAGCAGATTTAGAATCAGCATTCCAAACCCGTGACGGCGACGCATGGCTCGTCCGGGTTGGCCGAGCTGACTTGGGAACACTTCCTTGTGAGTATCTGCTACATGTCAAAGAATCGTCACTTTATAATTTTAGATGTTTTTAATGGTTATTTTAGGTGAGGTAAACACAGCATTTTAGGTGACAGCAAAAACTTTTTGACCATCCTGATACTGGGAAGGCTTCTGAGGTAGAATTACATGCAAGGAGAAGTTCTATATGTATGCAGCTGGTTCACGGTGATGTTCAATAGAACATCTTGATCATTTAAATCATGTTAGGTATGAAAAAAACGGTATTTCTTTAAGGCGAGAAATTTAGATGACTGAAAAGTACTCTGCTTACTTATGATTTGTCGAGTAACGATTTCAAGATTATATTTGGAATTCGACCTATAGTGTGAGAGAGATTTTGTAGAATTTTTCTAAGTTTCTTTACAAACTTGCCTTACCTTTCCTAGAGAACGACAACTTATCGGGCTCCTTACTTCAAGGGCCTAGGCTCTTTGTAAACTCTCGGTTTTCTAAAAACAAAGATGAACAAAAACCTTCTTCACACGCTATGAGAATGCACAGCGGCTTTGTTTCACATAAATCATAAATCAAGCACTTCTACTCACCAGAGAAAACATTTTTTCTTTACTCTGTTTTTTTACATTAGAAAAACGAATAAGCTCTCAGGCCGACAAGTCAAAAAAGAAAAAAACAACTAGCGAGTCCTACAACTGCAAAAGATTACTTGCGCACAACGAAGGTCAACGGTTAGCGGCACATGATACAATACTGCTCACAGAGTATGCAAAATTTTCGTGAATGTAGCGGAATTCCAGGATTGTCGAGGACTTCCGCGGAAATTGTGTATTCTTTCAGCGTATTGTGTAGTTGGTGTTACCTCGGCGATGTGCATGAAGATGAGAAGAGAAGATGAGAAGATGCTCTTTTCTTATCTCCTCTGTTGTTTTTTCCTTTTTTTCAATTTTTCCATTCTTCGTCTTTATTGATTTATCATGATTCGGTATTTGGTCCTTGTTCCCTGTTCTTTTCTGGCAGTATTTCATGTATGAATAGAATATTTTGTGAATAACAATTTAAATGAATTAAACTTGATGAATATTGTCGTCGAAACCGGGATTTTCATTTCCACGTATGTGATACATGAGTCAGAGTAGCAGTTCGACTTGTCCACTCATTTGCATTCTGCCCGTGTACTTCCTGTGCTTCTTCTATCAAGGTTCTTAGCAATGAAGCTACAAGCCTTTTTTTTTTGAATCTCAACTTCAGAGGTGATTTTCAATTAACGATCTTCTTTTCTTTCCTTCCTGTATTGATCAAAATCACCTTACACGTTATCATAAATATTAGTTATGCTGCTTTCACTGATTTAAAGATATTATACAATGCTCGGGTTTGTTGAAAAGGCTGTCTGGTTCTTCCATTCCCTAAGAGAATGGTCATGGTTAAGTGTTTTCTTTAAACTCTTTTAGCATTTCCTAGTCCACTGAGCCCGTGAGAGTATTTGTCTTGCCCATTTCAATTTGGGTTGTTGAAATGGGATCGCGCATGAAGTCTTCACTAGTATACAATTTTGAAGGAAAAACTTTTCCGCAAATGAATGTGAATGAAGTATTTTGCGCCGAAGTTATTCAACATTTTTCTTGTGGTTTTGTTTTCTTTTTCATCCTGCGAAATACCTTTACTTCTGTATTTTGTACATTAATGAAGCACTTGCGAGCTATGTTTTCTCTTTATTTTGCGAGCATTTTTTGCCTATTTGGAGTTCTGTTAACAGTTTTTTGTTAATTCTATACCTCGGTGCTTATACCATCCCGATATGACGACAACTTCTTTTTTCGAATTTTCATTCTTTCGCTAACTTCGGCAATTTCTTCTAACAAGTTCGTATCTTCCCGGTGCTGTCGGCATTTCTTTTATTCATACCTTTCCTCTACCTTTCATCAAAGCAGCTGCATCATTTTTTCGTTCCAAAGAAAGCTTTCTGACTTTAGTATGACGTCCTGTACGTTCGTTTGCCTTTTCTTCATTTTATTCACTTGCAAAAACATGAGTTGGAGGAAAGCTTCGCCCAAGTGGGTCCTTGCTTACCGGGCACCTCACCTAAGGGACGAGGCTGGCTCCCACATCTTATGTGCTGCCCCTCCTCCCTCGGCCCTCCATTTGTGAATCCTCGGTTTTTTTTCTAAAGATAAACAACGTTTTCAGTACGCTATAAGAATGCACGGGTATGTTATCAAATCAATCATGAAGCAAGGGAGTCATAACAAGTCTTGTGTTATCATAATAATCATGTCACAAAGGTTCCTTGCTGGCTCTTTAACAAAAAACGTTGCAGAATTTGAAGTGAAAGAAGAAGATTAGAGAAGCTTTGGTATTATCTAGAAAAAGCTCACCAAAAATTTAAAAAAGTTGCAATGAATTCAAGGCAGTGATCAGCGTATGTTTATGGTTTTCTCTACTCGATCAAAAATGTTTTGCGGTGAGGAGATATCATTTCACAAATTCAATCGCTTTGTTCCTGTTCCTCTGAAGAGAACTGTTTGATAAACTTAATTTTCCTAAGAGTCAGTAAACCAACACAAACTTCGTCCTATCAGAAAAAGGAGGCAACGGCATATGCTGATGAATTCTATGATTTGTACTTTCACATGGAGACCACAAAGCTTAAATTAAGCTTTTTTTCCTCCATTCTTTTAACAGATTTTCGTTGAGCAAAACTGGAAAAACACCTCAAAAAAAGAAGTGGGACATTGGTTTAACCTAATACTTTGACTCTTCGAAGCACTTGTTACGTCAATTCATAAGTATGAACGCAATGCGTTTGCAAGCTGAGGTGCCTATTGCGCTGACATAATATTGCAAGTGTCGATTCGGCTTATTCGGATTTCGTCTCAGATGTGAGCACAAATAACCAAATTGACATAAAGGCCAAAGCTCACAATTCAAATGTTTCAAACGTAAAAGTTGAAAGAGTATATGTTAGAGAGTACTGCTTTTTTTCTTTTTATTGGTTGTTCATAACGTCTTGTAAAATCATCGTTCATATAGAAGCACGGTTTTTTCTGTTACACGACAGACAGTTAATTTTTCCGTGATTCTGAAGGTAACTTGACGTTGGCACTCTAAATCTTCATCATGATTTTTATTACCGTTTTTTGGTAAATGTAAAAGTAGTTGTGCATTTTGAAAAAAACCAAGTCAAAGCAAAAGATTGAGGTTTTTTCAAATCTGTCTGATCATTCTGCTTTTGCTAAAGGGCAATTTCTACTGTGAAACAAGCGGAAATGCAGAGTTTTGACCAGTATCAGCACAACAGATGTAAGAATGCAAATTTTCCAGATCATGTCAATATCAAAAATGACACCCCGCGAACACATGATCATTATACTCTTTTGTGCAACCATAGGATTGATTGTTGTTCCTCAGCTAATCCAACAACAGCAGCTATTAGAGTTTTGGAAGGTGCGTTTTCTTCTGTTTTGAGAGGTATTCAAAACGCATCCATTTCAAAGCGGAAGTTTTGGTCGTTATAATGTAATCAAGCATGAAGTTACTGGAAAAAACAAAATGAAAGCGCATGTGCGGTACGTAAAATGACAAGAGTGTAATTATGCGACATTTGCCTATTGCTTCCAAAGTTCGAAATAAACGTAATGTGTAGAATGCTCAAATTCCAGTTGTACTGCTTCAGCTTTTGTTGGCGTGTATTAGATTGGCGCGAAAGTTTTTCTTCCCTAATTACGGACTGGAAATTATGATTTTGCACTCCCAAAAAAACATCCGTTTTTTAGTGGCAATAATTTACACGCAATTTTCAGTCATCTAGCCCTCGAGAACAAAGTACAAAGACACGGCTCTCCAAGGTTTGTGATATCGAGCTTGGTTTCCAGTAGCCGTAAACATCTCGAAAGCTCAACGCCAAATGAAGTTGGGTCCAGGGAATCGTAAGGAAATGCTTGGGACTCCGCAGCTTGAAGATGCAGAAGAGCCAAGCCTTGAGAAATGAAGGCTACTCGACGTCAAAAATGCCTGTTTTTAAGACGATTTAATGGCGTGCAGCCGAGACTTCCCTTTCACGCATGAGAAGATATTTACGTTAGAACAAGCCTACTACTGCCAAAGCGACAGAATTCTTTTCCAGTCGATCCAGGAAGCCTTCACTCAACATCGCTACGTTTTCAGATAGGCCATCCAGCCCAGGTGATGTTTTGGGCAGTCCTAGCTTTTCCGGAAAGACATCACCCGTCTTTGTGGATCCAGAAGTAGAACGCACAATGTTATTTGAAACACATTCTCGTGAAGGAGGCGTTTTCTTGGAGCCGAGTTCACTTCAACAGGCTATCCTGCCCTTTCAGCAGGACTCAGCACCTTTCCACAGGGCACAAGTCGTTCAGAAGTGGTGTGATAGTGGTCGATTCTTCAGCAATGATCACCTCGAAGTGTTGGCCGCCTTACTTCCCAGATTTGAACCCGCTTGACTTTTCTTTGCCATTCATGAAAGGTGGACGCGATCTTTAAGCACCTGAAGGCTTGTGTGGAGGCCAAAGAAGAATCTGAGTGTATGGCTTTCATAGGCTTCAGAAATTATATGCCAAACTTTCATATGTCCATGCTGCTTCGTTTACTTTCAGCTGAAGGAATGTAATACTAGGTTGTTCCGAAAATTCTGTCCGATTTGCAGACTTTTTGATTAAAAATGTTTTAACTCTCTTCAAAATCAAATGTTGCACGACTTAAATTTTGTTAGATTAACCGAGGTTACATCTATCACAAGCACAGTATGCCATGTAAAGAAAGCAAGCGAGAGAGTAGAGAAAATTTGGAGAATTTTACAAAGGTTCCTTCAAAACCATCCACTTTGACGTAATGCTAATGCTAATGCTTCCATAAGGATACGCGGACATATTTGGCTGCCACCATTGAGTAGCCTATACTTCAAACATTCTTTGTTAACTAAAGAGAATTCAAGCTTTCTTTGCTGCAAAGAAATTTACGAGCAATCAAAAAATCTTTTATTCGAGCCCCCCCCCCCCCCCGCGCGAGAATTACATCGACTTTTCAATATTTGATTTTTTCTTGCTGTCGTGGACGAATAAAGCTAACTGGCCGATGGTCCCCTCTTGCTCTTGCTTTGCTCTACCATCTGCATTATTGAGTGCACCACCATTCGCTATACGTAGACTATTGCTACTTTTTAAATAACTGAGTTTGTCTTCCACTTTTGGAAAAATTGAAAAAGTAAGACGTTCGCTTTGTTGGAGGTGAAGTGTGCATATGTTAGCCCTTTACACCCTGCCCCATTATAAAATATTACATATTCAAGTTTACGAATTCTGCAGGATTTCTGTTCACATAAACCTTTTCTTGAGCATGACTGCAATTTGGCAATTTGGCTTCGGGGGTTGGGCTTCTATCACTGAGAGGACGTCTTGTCAAGCATTAGAGGGCACGAAAGAGCAAGAAAAGTGCTTTCAGATTGACATTAATATGTTGTCTGCAACAGATACAAATCTCTAAGAAAGATTTGCGTTAAAGCGAGACAACTAGAAATCGGACGAAAATTTCGTATCAACCCAGTACTAGGCTTGACGGCAGTGGCTCGGCAAATTCTCCACCTGTTCGACGCGCTGATTCCGTAAATTCACCCTTAAAAGCGCGAAAATGGCGAAAACCAGCATCTCTTAATGCCCTTCATTTTGAATTTGGCGAGTGCAACGCATCCCGCAGTGGTTAGAGACGACAGACGTGGGACCCTCATGTTCATAACATTTCGGCATGCCGCCTCTGACGGTGTGAGAGATATCGCAAACTCGTCTTTTGATCCTTTATCAATTCATTTACTGTACGGCTATTGGTGGATTAAGATTTGATTGAAAAAGCTTTATATCACATAAATCTCTTCAAACTTGTCCCGTTACCGCAGCTGAGCTTCGAGAGAGAATGCTATTAAGGCTATATGAGTTGTTGAATTTGATGTTCGCCATATCAAAGTTCTTGGGCTCGTATGCATTAACATCCTTGCAGCGAGGGAAGGAGCGTCCCCCATGATGAAAAAGCCACAGCGGTGTTCGCGCGCGGCTTCTTCGTAACGCCTCAATTGAACATACTTTATTTAGAACTGAGTTTTTTGCTACAACAACTCCTGAATAATAGTATCGGATGGGAACATTGAGCGAAAAGAAGCAAAGGGGCCATGGGAAGGAAATAATAATAACTATGCATATGTATTTGTTGTCAGAACAATATCAATAGGGCTAGATGGTGCAGATCATCTTGTGTTTTTACGAGGTGTTAGAGTGAATCTATCTTGCTTTATGCTAGGTTTAAAATTACCTTGATAAGTCGCATTCTTGAATACGACTTATCAAGGTAATTTTATTAATCGTTTTCAGGGTAAAATTCACTCTCAAAGTTTTATTTTTAAGGTAGCGTTTATGAGTGCAAGTTATCGCTCTATGCCTTGAGGTTTTTCACGGTACATTTAGCTCCTGAGGTTGAGCCGCCTGTGCTTTGAATACTGGTAAACCTCTGGGGTAAGCCCCTCATGGTTCGTTGATGAATACGGCCACAGGTAAGAGAAGTGTAAGTAGCTGCCTCAGAAAATCAGTAGAAATTGCTCACATAGGAGGGGATCTAAATTTATACGTTACTGTATCATAGTTCTTCTCGCATAACAAACATATTTCGTTTGTATTGAATAAACACTAGGTCAACTTCTGGTCGAGGCAGATGAGCATGGGGATCTCATGTGAATGTAATTTCTTTGGGGTTTTGACTAAAACCCTGTCCAAACGGCAGCGGATGGTGCACTCGTGACCTACAAGGAGAGGATACTTAGTCGAAAGCACCAATCCAGATGGGGCATATATCATCGTGACGTGCTCGGAGCGCTGATTTCAAACCTGGCAAAATCAGCTGCGGAGCGCCTTTGGGCAACGAGTTATGGTTGTTTTTGTGGAGAAATTTTGAGGTCAAAGGAAGAAAAAAATTATACGCAGAAGTCCCAAATTGGGCTCGAATGGGGGAGTGATGTCTGTCAGATTACTCTGCGCAAAGAAAAATGTCTGTCTGCTATACCCACATTTGAAACGAGTCTATCCGCGAAATATACATGTTGTAACAATCAATTTTCTTCTCTTTACCCATTCAATTTTTGGCTCTTGAAACGCAGAGCTCCTCACCCAGAAGCGCTCCGCAGAAAGGAGGACAGATTTGAAATCAGCGCTCCGAGCAGGTCACGACGATACATGTCTCAACTGGATTGGTACTTTCGACTAAGTATCCTCTCCTTTTTAGAAATTTATCTCCAAAGCAGACTCCAGTATCACATTAGTATCACATTTTGTGCAAAGGTGTCACTGAAAGTTCAGTTACCCGAGCTTTTCTTTAGCGGAAAGTACCTAGGGGATGTGCAGTCATTTACAAAGGGCCGTGCTTTCAACAATTTTGCATATTCCCGCGGGAAGTCTGCCAGAATGCGGCCACTGTGCCGCAACTAATCTATGAAAAAATCGCAATCGTTCTGAAGATTTTGGAGAGGTCCGCACTACCCGAATTTTGGGTGAGACACTCCTTTGAAAAAAGGTCTCCTCTATCTAGCAAATCTAGGTTTGTGCAATGCCATTGAGAAAGCAAGAAGTTATGACTTTTCCAAAATAATGAGCAAAAACTTTTGCATCAACTTTCTAAACGAATGACGGTGGCGCGGCCCCACAGATATTCATCTCAAAAGAACGAATCTAGCCCTTGGACATGGGATCTTTGCACTATGGCAGAAATTCTGTGGTATCCAGGAATATCCCTGCCTTTGACATACGACAGTACGACATAGGTGTACGTGGCCTACCATTCCGTATAATAACCTCCCGGTGGGCCATATGGTTTCTGAAGTTTTTGATCATCCTAGTTTGCGATCAAACATTTTGGACAAACCGAACAAACTTGTGTATACCTCTCTTGGAATACTTTTTTAGAGATTGACACTACTTTAGGCGATAGGACCCATTAGCAGCCAGAAAATATCACGCAAGCTCGATATTGCGAAATATGTCCTGATCCGAAATGGCAGTCATCAAAAAATCGTCCTTGTCATGAGTGTGATAATGGACGCTTTATTCTCTGAGCCCAGCCAACAAGATGCTGCTTTTGGAGCACTGTGGAGAAAACTTTTTTCTTTCTGGAAGCACCACGAATGAGTTTATAAAACAAGAAATTTTGTGCTAAGCTAATCATGACTTATAATAACGGACTAAGGGTATTTACGTGTTTTTGTGTGTGTCTGTCGTTTGTCTGTAACGAGATTCACAGAACGAGTCGCAGACAAGGTATCAAGCCGTAATTTTCGCACAACACACACTATTAACATCTAGATTCACCATGCAAAAGCACAAGCGGATTCATTGGGTAGGTTTCTCAAAAAGCGCACCCCAAAAGAATCCACTCAGCTTCTGTCGTGCAAAATTGGGTCCGTATCACCACTTTTTCCAGAGTTGTGGTCATGTTTGGCAAGTCAATGTGCAAGCCATGAAGTTCCGCCCAAAAAAGTGACCAAAAGTCTATCACTCTACGCAAACGGCGCCAAAACAAATTGGTTGTGTGAATGGCGGGTTTGCCACGTTTTTATATGATCATTTTAGGAAATTTTTGCGCAGTAATGTAGGTCACGATGGATATTATGTTTATTGCGACCACCAAGCCATGAAAAAATTCAAGTGTTTTGAATCTGCGTTTGTTCTCCATCTTCCAAAGTTTCATACACCCAAAATACCGATCACGAAAAAGCTTTTGGAATGAATAATTGTTACCGTTTATTCGTGAAGGCAGGCATTGCGCGGTAAGTTCATGTCATGTTATGCGAGAATGAGTGAGACATAGAGATAGGAGAACCAGTGCGGGCCTCTACGAAGCAGAGGTGAGGCACTGGTATATACATAAGTGTATAAGGTCATTTAGACTTAGAACATTGAGTTTTTTACAGATTGATCTTGCGTATATATATGTTGACAATACGATGATATGGTCGCCTTTACAGACTACAGGGTGTCCGTAAAGTATGTATACACTGTCTGATCGTTAATATCTCTTTTCCCAAGAAGTCTTTTGCCTTGCTTCAGGTACCATTTTGGCAGGCTTCAACTTAGATTTGCAGTATAGAACGAATCACCCATCTCTCTTCATTACTGTAGGATTACGGTAGAAACTTGAAACATATGGTGTCAATGTGGAAAAGCTGCCGTTTCAAAATTTTTCAAAAAAATGTGAAAACTTGTGTAATAGGGTTTTTATGAACGTTGAGTTCAAAACTCAACTATTCGCAAGATTGCGAAGCTTTCTAAATGGCGTAACCGCACTTTTTAGGAACAATGAAAAAATGGCCGCTACCTAGAAAGACGGTAGACGATTCGGACGACTCGGACGATTCGCTCTATACTGTAAATCTAAGTTGAAGCCAGCTCTACAAAATGGCACCTGAATCAAAGCAAAAGACTTCTTGGGAAAAGAGATATCAAGATCAAACAGTGTATACATACTTTACGGACACCCTGTATACAGCATTAAGTTCCATCATATTAGGTCGGTCCAAAAGTTCGCGCTGTTTTTCAGACCCATGCTCAAATCACTTAGAATGAAGATAGGCAGACGCTTTAAGCAATGTCCGATGCAGAGTTTCTGCCTCTTTCTAGCGGTTATGTTTTTGTTCAAATTCCCTCGATGTGCGCTCAATAATCGGCAGTGATCTTCAACCCATGATCTTCACCTGTCTTCAGTTTTGTTTTTAAGAATTTCAATTTCCAACTTTTGGACTAGCTTTTATGACAGTTGAATAGAATAAACAAAATGCAATACAATACATTTTTCTGGCATCTTAAGCTGGATCCTCAAAATTCTGGAAAATATTTATTTTGATGCTAGCAAATCCTATCTTTGGAAGCCTAAACCTCACAGAACGAAAAACGACTAGCAACCAAGGTGTCATTCGATGTAGCTTTTTCTCCTCTTTCTGATAGACTTCTTTTCTTCCTGATTGTTTAATATTTGAGGGTAAAATCATTGTAATTTTTGCTCTCAGACGCGTCCCAGGCTGTATCCACGAAATTCAAATCCAGTATTTCGAACCGCTAAACGCCCAGTTGCTAAGATTAGCGCTAAGTCATAACCTGCTTTTGAAAGGTTTTAATTCCGAAGATTTTCAGTGTTTAAGGCGATTGTATATTTCGAGACTTCGCACAAATTATTTTAAGAAATATTGAAGAGTTAGGTGATGAAGCCGAAATAGTTCTTTATTGCATTTTGTTTACTCTATCCAACTTTTATCAGAGCTAGTCCAAAAGCTGAAAATGGAAATTTCAAAAAATAGCCAGACTGAAGATGGGTTGGAGATCCCTGCCCAGTATTGAGCCGACATCAAGGGAATCTGAACAAGAACGTAACCATTAGAAAGAGGAAGAAATTCCTGCATCGGGCAGTGTTTACAGCGTTTGTCTATCTTCATTCTAAATGGTTTCAGCATCTTTTATGTGTTTTTGAACGGCGGCCAAATTATTAGAAGAGGTTTCAGCATCGTCTGAAAAACAGCGCTAACTTTTGCACCGACCTAATAAAATTATTAGCTTGCATTCCTGCTCCGCTTTGCCATTGTTTACCGTAGTAAAAAAATTTTGTTTGAAGATTTGCTTTCCTTTCTTGCCGCTCTCTGTACTCCTTCTTCCTCCACCACTCTTAGGCCCGCATGCATTAACATCCTCGCCGGGGAGAGATTGTAGCTGCAAAAGAAAGCTTCATGTCCTGAAGCTCCGCATATCTGAATTTCACGCTGTCTACCTAACCGTAAGTACTCCCACCTTCCTTCACTCTTGAACGGGTCAAGTAGTTATACAAGCCGCATTTTTCGGCTTTTTGTTTGATACCCTGATGATCCCTGGCTGGTTTTTTCGGAGTCAATAAAACCGTTCTAAAGTTGTGCTGTTTATCTAACCCAACTGTGCTAATCATGTTTCTGGTAAGAACAAGTGATGTTTCGAATTATGAAATTTGCGATAAACCACACGTCGAAAGTTGGGGTTTATCGAAAAATCGATATTTCAAAGGCTCATTTGTTCTTATCAGCAACATGCTAAGCTGCTGGTTTAGATAATCAATACGACTTTGGAAGGTTTTCGCTAACTTTGAAGGAAGAAAAATGACTTTGAAAGAAAGACGTCCGGCTGCGAGGGATCATCAGGGGATCTACGAAATTCGAAATAGAATAGAAAAATGCGGCTTGCTTCTTGCTCCCGAAGATGTTCATAGTGAAGGATGCTGGGAGTGCTTATAGATAGGTAAACAGCGTAAAATCCAGATATCTGGAGCTTCAGGATGTGAAGCTTCTTCTGAAGCTGTGATCCCCTCCCGGCGGTGAAGTCAATGCATGCGGCCCTTAAAGGCACCGTCCACCCAAAATGGAGGTTGGCGAGATTATGATGGCATACTAGTGTGGGCCCCCATACTAGACAAACCTCCAAGCTTCGCAGCAAAAGACTGCTTCTGGAGCGAGAAATCCGCTCCGGAAGTAGCAAAGTAGGCGGCGATCCTAGTCACCACGCCCACTTGCATGCTTTATCTCGCCTGCGCTTGTTGCAGAGGGTTCTCGAAACAGGGATTTTTGGGGGTTTCGCGGATTTTCGATTCCATATTCGGAATCAGGGCTTACAGAAGGCCTGAAGGCGACAAAAACGTTGAATTCGAGATTTTGGGTGGACGGTGCCTTTAATGTTAATGGACGGTGCCTTCATCTTCTTCCTTGCGCATCCAACAATGCATTGCCAGCTGTCTTCCCTACTTTCATTTTATTCAGATCTTACCTCAACAAAGTTTCGCATCCATCCTCATCTTCCTAGTTTTGTGATCAAAACGAGCTTCATATCTCCCTGTTTGCATGACTGTGGGAAATAATCTAATGACCTCATTTATATAGCCGAATGTCTGTTTGCATGTATGTCTGTCTGTCTGTACGCTAGAAGAAAATTTCATTTCTGTACCTATCCGGACCAAACTTTGCACACACTTTGGAGTGGGGCGGGTGTCGTAGGACTTCTCGTTATCGATTAATATCGACTTTATAGATTTCGTCGATTTTTTGTAAAGTTTGAGCTACGGGGCTGGGAGTTATCACGAGGGCGGGAGAAGGGGGTAATCGAGCATGCTGATTACTAAACATTATAAGTTTTTAGGATAATCTATCGCTTTTATCAATTTTTTCAAAGTTTGAGCTAGAGGGCCGGGAGTTCCTTGCTATTGCTTGTTCTGTCATTTAGATTATGGGATCCTAGTCCACTTCTCTACTTTTGGCAAGTCTAATCTGTTTAATTAGTAACAGAATGACGATATTATGATAACAATGCTCATTTCTGATACTGTTTGATCGAAAATGGGGCCACCATTGGAGATTGAACCTACGTCGCTAGGCAACTCAAACTCTTGGTTAAACCTGTTAAACATGTAAATGACATGTCAATTTTTCTTGACACGTGGCAAAAGGTTAACACTCCTTCCTATGCAGTCGCGACCGAATATGGTACTAGGGAAACAGCAATATGCTTCTCTCAAAAAATGGGTCCGGATAACGGAAAAGTACTAACAAACCGAGGATAGAGAACTGACGCGTAGAAGTGGGCACAGGGGAAGGTTGTGCAGAAGTAGGGATGGTGACACTCTAACATACTGTTTTTATAGGTCCGGGATGGGCCGGGTATGCAGCTAGTGGTTGCTAAACTTGTTTTCTAGATTAACAGGAACAAAATATTAGTGCACAAAAGTGTACGATGTGGTAATACTATATTGTGTATAAAATCAAATCTGTGAAAAAAGATATCCTTGCTCCGTTTCGTTACTGTCCTTAGATGGAATGTAGGCACTCCTCTAAAAGTCAAAAGAAAATGGTTTAGTGAGAGGGCTCAGCCAATCGCTGTGGAAAGCTGCCGTGGTGTTTGTTCAACAACACAGTTCAACTGGAAAAATCTCTGTAGCGCATATAATACACAAATCTCGCCCCTGATATTATGTATTATGTTGGCGCAAAAGTTATGCGTAACTTAACAAAACTCAAAATTTTTTTCCATTTTTGAGCTTAAACATTTTGTTTTCAAAAAATAGTAAAGAGTTCGCCTTTCATGGCGCAATGCAGTGTTGAACAATGTTTCAGTGTAAAGCAGCACAAATTTGTTTGTTGCAGTTGCGCCAAATCGGCTCCTTTCCCTTTCATCCCTCCCAAATCGAAAGTAATCCTGAATTCTCGCATAAGCCTGAAACAAAGCATGTGCTGTGCAGTAAAGTGCTCAGTGGAGACAAGGTTTGAATTGTAAGTTCTCCGCCTTTTCGATTCGAATCATGATTTAAGGCTTATATCAAGAATATTACTCGCGATCGTCCTGTTCTGCGTTATCACAAGCTGGACATGTCTTGCAGTCACATTAAAGCTCGTGTACTTCCTCCAAAAGGCTTGAAGAAGTTGGATTTTGGTGTAGCTTATGCTCGCATTGTTCACGAGGTAGGACTATGACTTAAATTCAGAACTCAAGGATTAAGAAGCACATTCATTTTCTAAATTATTTGAAATTGTAAAATTCAAGAATGTATTAAATTAATTTGCATTCATTCAAAAAGCTTTTGTGATTGTAAATGCGAGTTTTAGTTCATCTGAGTCACGCGGACATTACTCTTGTTACGAACAATAAGTTTTTGATTATGTTGAAGTTTATAATGAAGAGAAGGACTGAGATAAGTCGACATGGTGTATACAGTGTGAGCAGACGATTAACGAGATCTAGCAATTGATGGTGAGGGTGTGAAAAAGATGTTTTTGAGCAGTAATTTTGTAATTATCGTCGACTCTAAAAATCGTGACGACGGTCTGCAGTGCGGCCAGTGCGCGCCGCACGGCACTGCCGCTTTATCGTAGGGCAATCTTGCTCCTCAGCAGTGTAGGCTCCCTGCGGTAGCCATGAAAGTTCCTGCAAGCAAAAAAGATGCAAAAAGAAAAAGAAAAACCACAAGAACTCACCTTCTCCCGTAATTTGGGCGAATCACTAGGCGGCAGTGCCGTGCGGCGCGCACTGGCCGCACTGCAGACCGTCGTCGCTATTTTTAGAGTCGACGATAACTATATATCATATTCTTTGCCTTACCTTGTCTAACCGTAACTAAGCTAAAAGCTTCTGTTTGAAACTTTTACAGCAATCCTTTTGCGAATCTTCCTCTTCTCTCAACAAACTAGCAAGAATATGTGAAATTTTTGAGTTTCAACGAAACTGTATATCGTCGAGTCATTTGTAACTTAATATGCGTAATGAACACTATACACGCTAACTGACGAGGAGCGAAACTAGAGCCTGTTCATTTCCAGCAATTTCTCCTTGTTTCCTTGTTTCTTTTGTTTTAGTTGGTTATATGTTAGTCATTAGAACACATTTCTACATTTTGTTAAGCTAGAAAATGTTTTACTGGGAAATTAGTTGTATAGGTGCCGTTGCTAATAGGGCTTATTGTGCAATCTCACATATTAAGTTACAACACTCGAGGTTACATGCCTACACTTGAAGTTTATAGGTTGATTAGAGAACAAATGCATTTTTTAGAGTATGATGCACTATTCAAAAAAGATGCGTGGTTGCTTCTTATTTAGCAAGTGAGAGCATATCAAAATTTATCGACCCTGTAGAATGCCCTTGACATGTGTTGTACTGTCTATGACCGTTTACAGAAAGCTGGTTAGAGCAGTCACAATCTCTCAACACTTGAGGAAACGGGGTTCACCCACAATATCACTGCTGCGAGTTGACGGAACTGTCACTGAAACCACAATAGCTTGTATTGGATCGGTATCTGATTTCCATTCAAAGGATGTAACTATAATATCATGATTTATAATAAGCCGCTAATCTGTCAATCATTTGAGTTGGAGTTGATCTATCACAAAATTACATTGAGGAATGATTGATAATGTTTTGAAGCATATGAGACGCATGAAAGGGAGGTTCATTCTTGTGCATTACCTTAACGACGAATGATCACAGAATCTGCACCACCATGTAGGTGTGCTAATACATTTCATGATGACCAGTGTGAGCCTCTGCGAAGCAGAGATGACGCACTGATAAGTATTAAATTACTTATTATAAAGTTCCTTTCTGAGCCGGTAAGTCAGCTTCAAATTTCCATTTGATACCTAGTCGAGTTTTTCACGTCTACGCTGATTTCCGCAAGTTATAGACTAACACTAACACATGATACTCACTTACTTAGATACTTAGATGGCCCGGCTTTATGTGACGTGCGGTCTCCAGCACATAGGTTTCCATTTCATCCTGTCTCTCGTTTTAGACATTCACGATCTTCTTGATTGACGTCGGTGGCTGCGTCCACATGTTCCAAAAACTGTAGTCAGCTGATTTCTCAGCTGGTCCATCCGTTCCACAAACATGTCTGCCCATCTCGTTGGAGGCCTTCTGAGGACGTTTCGCTTCGCGAGGATTCACTCTGATGTTTTCTTAGTGTACGTCTGTCGTCTTCTCATGATGTGACCGGCCCATCGATGCTTCGCATTCGCAACGTAATGTCATGAAGGCGGGACATTCTTCTCATATCCGCACTGCGAAGTCCGATTAGATGTTGCTTGTTTCTACTCATTTTCATAGACTGCGCTCAAGTGCTCTGTGGGTGGTTTGTAAAGCTTTTGAGTGTTGGCCCAAGTCTCAGCTGCGTAACAGAGCGCCGGAAGAACGGTTGAGTTGAACAGGTGGGCACGAAACTCCCGGTCTGTCAGTTGGTCGGTGGCTTCCTTCAGAAGCCCGAAGGCGGCCCAAGCTGCTTTTCTTCTCCTGTTAAGTTCTTCACTCAGGTCGTTCCCCATGTTCATCGAACGTCCGAGATACACGTAAGAAAACGTTTACATAATAGGGGTGTCTTCCAATTTCATTTCTGCATTTTCGCAAAGGTCGTTCTTCATGAACTGTCTTCTTTCAATGTGTGCGCAATCCGGTATTCTTCCCTGCTTCGTTTAGTTCCTTCAGCATCGTCTCGCCTTCAGAGATACTGCTCGAGAAGTTAACGATGTCATCCGCAAAACGAAGGTTAGACAGGAATTTCCCATCAACTCGTATGCCTCTTTTGTCCCAGTCCAGTGATTTCATCACCCACTGCAAGGCCGCGGTGAACAGCTTCGGCGAAATAGTGTCGCCTTGTCGAACCCCCTTTCCAATTGGAATGGTCAGGGGGCGATGGAATAGCTGCATCGTGTTGTAAGTCCTTGTAGCAGTCGGCTAGTGTCCCCACGTAAGCTGGGAACACTCCTTGATTGACTAACGCTGACAGAATGGCATTCGTTTCAACGTTGTCAAAGACTTGTTCGTAGTCAACGGGTTAGGTATTCCCGCCAATTTTGTGACCGGAACGTTTGGATGTGCTGCATGCAGCTGCATCCTTTGCGAAATTAGCTTGTTGTTGGGGTTGGGCTTCATCCAGTGTTTTAGATCGAGCGAGGACAGCCTTCGTGAAGAAGCTTGTACAACGCACTTAGCAGGCTATTGGACGGTAGTTCCGACCTCCCGTTCGCCCGTCTTGAAGAGGAGGACGGTTTTTGAAGTTCTCCACTGTTTGGGATCATTTCCTTCTGAAAGTAAGATGTGTTAGGTCGACACGAGAATCTCGTGTAGACGTTGTCCTTCGGCTCGCAGAAATTCGGCGTATAAATGGTATGGTCCTGGAGCCGTGGACGTCTTCATGGTTTAAATCATGGTGCGCACTCAGCAGGTAGAATTCGTGGTGGTACTTCTCCAGTGGGAACAACGGGCATCGGCACGGGTGTTGATGAGCGGAAGAGGTTGGTGTAGAAATTCTTCACGATAGATTTCTGTATCGGGACGAAGTCGGAGTCCCGTCTTCGTTCAGTTGTGCGGCTAGCGGCACGAGATATTCGCAGAGGTCCCATCGGCACTTCTTAAGACTTCCTGTTCCTTCGACTGCTTCCATTCTTGGCTTGCCTGTACTTGCTGAGATCCTCTCGCAAAGCTGTTCTGAAATTGGCGTTAGCGATCCTTCGTTCGAAATGGGACCTTGCCTCAAGGATCTTCTTCTTCCGAGTAATTTTTTGGTGGTCTTCGAAACTCGTTCCAGGTTCTTCTCGGAAGTTACAAAGGCGCTCTCTCCGCTCTCTACTCGGTTGGTGTGGTCGATCTCCGCGTGAGTCCTTCCGTTGGGCGATTCCCATGTCCACCGGCGATGTTCTTTCGTAAATGGAATTTCCATGAAAAATGTCGTGCGGCGGAGGGAAGCCCAACGAGACGGTTGTCATTTTCGTTCTGGAGCCCATCATCCAAACATCCTGATCCAAAATTCCTCTTCTAGTCGCATCCCGATCTTCGCGTTGAAGTCGCCCACAATGAACTTGTAGAAGGACTTCTCGTTGCGGACGATCTGCTCACGTCTTCGTAGAAAGCATATAGTTCTGGATCGTCAGCTGCTGATGTTGTCTAGCAGTTGATGCTGCTGATGGTCTCTAGCGTGAAATCGTTTTCTTAGGATCGCTAGTCAAGGTGATAGGATTTCATGAAAAGCGACTGACAAAGCCAACGTCTCTAACGTTTCGTGATGGATCCTTCTTACCACGAATGCTAAGGGCATCAACTGATTTTATGAATCACTTCGCTCTCCATTTCTAAGAAGAGGAAAGTTGGAAAAAAAGAGACGCTCTACGTTTACTGGCAAAGTATTCCTTTGTAACACAGCATACAACTAAGTCTTCATTCTTTGCAGAAAGATTTCCTCACAAAACATGCCTGTTTTCAGCATAAATGCCTTATACCTCATGAAGAATGCATGCTTAATAAGTGGCCTTTTTGAATGGGATGTATACCATACTGAAGGGCACAAAATGCTGATCCCAAATCTCCCTTCCTTATCTGCAGAGCATCTATAGACGAGGAGTCATGAGCGCATATTGGAGCGAAAAATTGAACGTGCAAGTAGAACAAAAATAGCCGTAATACTTTTTCTAGCTCTTCGAAAAAAGCAGCAATAAACATCAGAGCGTTTTATTTAAAACACACTCTAAAATGAAAATATATCACACTTTTTTACATTATTTGAGGGCTAGTAAGTTTTCATCAACTTATTTTATCCAAAATGCACATTCGATTTTTGACTCCAAAAAACGCTCATAACTCCTCGTCTATAAACGTTCTGCAGATATGGAAGGCAATTTTAAGACCAGCGTTTTATAACCCTTTAATGTGGTTTACATATCATTTAGAAAGGCCACTTGACTTAACAAGCTTTCCTTTTCGGATTAGAGGGGGACTAGAAAAAAGGGACGGTTTACGTCGAACTCCCGTTTGGTGAGCTTTCTAACCAAAGGAACTGAGAAAACTTTCTGAGCAGCATTGTTTCATCAATGGTGCCTCTACGACAACAAATTTGGTTGACAGTATTTATGAATGAACTCTTGCCTTAAAGAGTAAAAAATGTGTGGGATGTGTTTACAGGGTGTCCGTA